GGATCCGATAGGCCGCTCTTCCGGCGGCGGCGGCGGTGTCCGGGGTCAAGACCCGCTCCCCACCCCCGCCTCGCCTCAGCCTCCGCCCCCTTCGCGGAAACAACAGCTGCGGCGGCGGAGCTGGCGCCGCCTCCCGCCGCCTCCCTCCACCTACCGCGCCCCGCGCTCCGCGTCCCGGCTCTGTGGCGGCGCCTCCGCCTCCCCGCTAGGTCGGCCGGCGGCTCCGCCCGGCTGCCGCCCAAGATGAACATCATGGACTTCAACGTGAAGAAGCTGGCGGCCGACGCGGGCACCTTCCTCAGTCGCGCGGTGCAGGTACCGCGGCGGGCGGGTGGCGGCGCCCCGGGAGGGACCCGGGAGGGACCCGGGAGGGGCCGAGCTCCGAGGCGACGTCTCCGCATCCCCGGGCCTGGACTAGTGGCGCGGCCTGCTGCCCCTGCGGGGCCCCGGAGGCCGTTTCTCGCCCCGCTTCTGGCCAACCGCCGCTCCTAGCGAGGCGGGGCGGGTCGCGACGCGGCCCGGGGCTTCCTCCACTCCGGGAGGACACCTTGAGCTCACCCTGGGGGGCGGATGGGCGACACCTCCTGGGGAGGCCGCCCTCCCGGGACCGGGGAGGGGACCGAGACGACACCCACCCTGCTTGTGCCGCCCCCACCCTTCCCTCGGATCTCCTCCCGACGTCTGGGAGGCCGAGGAGGGAGTTTCCTTTTCCTGTCTCTCAACCCGAGAGCTGCCAACACAGCTCCCACCAGCGGCCCCCAGTCCCCCAGGAAAGACCCGTCCCTGGACTTGGCAGCCCCTAGAGGAAATGGAGATCGCCTGTTGGTATCCAGACTTTTTTGCCCAGGACTTGGGGAAACCTAGAATTAAGGGGAGGGGAGCTCTTCCTTCTCCCCCAAAATGGGAAGCCCTGTTGGTAAAGCCAAGGGGAGACGAAGAGATTTCGTGATGTTGTGTCCATGGTCACAGTGGTTTCTTTCAAGTGCATTGTCAAGGGAAAAGTTCACTGCTTCTCAAGATGCCGTAATCAAGGAAGTGTGTGTGGTAAGGAACTTGGACAACTTACTACAGTCATCACTCACATTGCGCCAACTCAGCAAATCTGTGAGCAGATGTCAATTTCACAACACGGGTTATAAACAATCTGTTCTTTAGTGTCATAGAATAGCAACAGCATTCTCTTTTGTTTTTAGAAAGCAAAAATAATTTTCTCATACGTGTTGCCAGATTGGTACTGAAATGTGAGTGTGTTCTTTTGCCTTCTTTCCTTTTTTTCCTTTACCTCGATTTTTAGTAGCACAGTTGACCCTGTATTTCATTAATCTTGGCAAAAGAATGGGAGAACTACAGTAAGATATTCTCTGCCTATATGATGAAAAGAAGTGTTTCAAGCATTTGTCTATACATTTGACATACAATCTCCAGTCCCATCTGACAACTTGTCAGATGTTACTAACTCCCCTTTATATATAAGGAAACAGCCTCAGAGATTAAATAACTTGATTCACTTGCAGGGCTAGTAAATAACCAGGTGCTGTCAGACCTACTACTGCAAGCTGCTTTCTCTTTCTGGATAAGCATCACAGGTTCAAGAGCTATAGAATAGTAAAAGGACGTGACCTAAAGAAACCTTAAAGGTCATCTAGTACAAACAATATTTCATTATCAATAGTAGATAACAAGAGATGGAGAATTCCATCTAGCTTATTTCCTAAATCTATAGTAAGTAGCAAGCCTGTTCTTCTCCTTGCTTCTCCCGTAAAAAAAAAAATAGAGACATATGATTGAGAGTATAAAATAAATTTCAATTTCTGAGACACTTTCTTTAGACTTAACGTTGACAGACCATGGTAGAGAACTAAAATCTGTGATATTTTGTTTATCTTAGTGCTGAATGATTCTGATGCTTAATAAAAACTTGACACTATATAATGCCATATAATTGGATAAATTTCAGGTACATAATCCATACTGTTTATATAGGATATTTTTCTTAACATTTAAATGGTTGGTGGATTCAACTTAAAAAAAGTAAATCTGCTGGGAAGGTGGCTCAGTGGTAGAGTGCTTGCCTTGTATGCATGAGGCCCTGGGTTCGATTCCTCAGCACCACATAAGCAAAAAGAAAAAAAGCTGGAAGTGGTGCTGTGGCTCAAGTGGTAGAGTGCTAGCCTTGAGCTGAAGAGCTGAGGGACAGTGCCCAGGCCTAGAGTTCAGGCCCCACAACTGGACCAAAAAAAAGAAAATAAGTAAATCTAGGAAAACTCTCAAAAGATGTACTTTCTAGATGAATTTTAATTACTGCTTTAATGCTTTAGGAAAAGCTTTTATAATCTGTTAGCACTTATAAGTGTAGACAACTGTAGAGTGGGATCTAAGATTTCTTTCCTGAATAATTTCCATTTGATTTCAGTGTGATTTTAAGAATCTTGTGATAAGCCACCTGCTGTACTTTTTTTTTTTCCATTTTACCTTAGAAATTTTAAGTTTAAACTAAACTTCCACACTGGGCACTGGTGGCTCATGCCTATAATCCTAGCTATTCTAGAGGCTGAGAGCTAAGAATTACACTTGGAAGCCAGTCCAGGCAACTTCTTGTCCATGAGACTCTTAACTCCAACTAACCAGCAAAAGGCAGGAAGTAGAGCTATCGCTCAAGTTATACAGCAGGAACACAAAAAGCTTAGGGACTACACCAGACCTAAGTTCATGCCCAATGACCAGCACAAAAAAAAAGATAAACTGCTTTGTTTTAAAAACTATCAGCTCAAAAGTATATAAATGAGTCATCACTACTGTGTAATGTCTAGAATTAGTAAATCTTGATACTTTAAACAATTTTAAGGCAGAATATATAAGTTTGAATGTTCTTAGTCCATTTGTGTACTTGTTGCTTTAAAAAAATGGAATAAAAATGATTAGGTAATTTATCCCTTGTTATTTTACTGGTGTCCTAATAGCTATTAGTTCTTAAAATCCTTTTAGACTAAATTCCTTAATTGAGCTTTAAATGATCAAGTTTTAAACTTGTTTTTACATATGTAAGGACTGTTCTTACTGTATCATTTCTTTCTAAATTGTCTAAATCTGGGCTTTGTTCATGTAGTGAAACTTTTTGAATGCCATCTATCTCTCTGATTAGTTTTCTTCCTTCAAAACAGCTTCAAATGCCTCTGAACTATGAAGGTTTGTCAAACCATAAGAGCTTTATGTGAAATCACTTGACATATTTTAATTCTCTATGATCATGCGACATTTTTCTTTTAATGAAGTATTATGTAAGGTCCTTTGTAGCTCTCAAATTCTGTGACTCTATACTTTTCATCTTTCATAAGATACATCCTGAGGAATCAACTCTTACAGTTTTTCCCTCCTGTCTTAATATCTGTCATGGTTCATCTTAACGATTGTATCATTATAGCCAAGGAAGTTTGTGCCCCTGAATATGAGTTTACACGTAGGGCAACCGGAATTTAGCATGTTAAATTTAGCATGTTAAAAAAAAAGTCCTTTTCATTTCACTACATATTTACTGAGTACCTTTTAAGTACTTGGCATTGAAAGATACAAAGATGAATAAGACCAAGTTCATAGTTTAGTACCAAACTTGTCATAGTTAAATATTTTATTCTTTGTATATCTACATAGATATATATATCTGTGTATATATATATATATATCAGTATATTTATATATATACTGTTCTCTTATTTCATCTGATAACTCTTTTGAGTAAATAAATGAACAAGAAGTAAAATTTTAATTTACACTTGATATTAAGGCCAAACTTTGTTCACTGATTTTAGAATAAGGGAACATGTACTTTCTAAACACTTTTTAAAACTAAAATACTTAGAGAGTTCATTTTTAATTTTGTAAGATATCTTCTTATTAAGTTATTCTATGAACTTTATGAATCTCAGCTCTTTTCTTGGGGAATATGTCTTAGAAACATATTTCTAAGATTAGTCTTAATCTTCAAATTCTTTCAGCAAGCATAATGGTGTATTTCACCTGGAGATGTCAAGATGATAATGCCATCAGTTAACTCCTTTTGTATCCTGTTTGAAGTTTCAATTTAGCGAGCTCTCTCCTGCCTTTCTTAAATCCTGTTTCCTTTTTAGAGTTTAAACTGTGATAATTTCACTGTATCTTTACAATTTTAATAAAACAGACCACATTTACAATCTCTGCATTTTCTCATAAAAGGTCCTACATATTTACCATTACTTAAAACTATATTTGCATGCTTTGATGGCATTAGTCTTAATTCAGTAAACTATTAGATAGAAGATAGTCTGTTAGCTAAGAAAATTTTTGCCAAAGTGCTACATAAATTATACAATAGAAAATCTTCAAGATTATTTTCAATTCATCATATTTCTTGAAAATATTTTTAAGGTAATGACAAAAGTCACAAATGGTTTTTCTAAGCTATACTAAGTCATACACTCCTTATTGCTCTGCTATTTAAAATTATGAAACAACTAGGTCTATTACTTAAATCTGGTTGTGAAGACAGATTTCATAGTTTAAATTTTTTACATTTAAATAGTTGTACATAGTAAATAGTTTTTGAATACAATGTGTCTTTATCAGTATTACCCCTTTCAACATTCTCAACCATGCCTCACCCCCAAACCACCCTCTCCCTTTTCTCCAGCTCATGTTTTTGAAGCAAAACTCTTGCATAGTCAAGTGACAGTACTAGCTAGATTAAAAATGCCAAAGAGGAAAGTAATGCCTGCTGCACTAAAACAAGTAATGCACACTTAAATAATTAGGAGCTTAAAACATAGTTTTAAGTCATAGGTATGCCAGAATTTACCTGGGGAATCTTTAACCCATATATATTCTACATCCTAGTCCAGTGAAATTAGAATTTAGGGATGTATTGGTCAGCATTGTTTTTGAAACTCCCCTCCCTCAAGTAATGCTAAAGAACAACCAAAATTGAGAAACAGTGATCAGTCCTTATTAGTATATTAAATATGCTCAGTTTGTTACTTATTTTCTCTCAAGGCATTTAGATTACTTTTAGACTATTAACTCTAACCAGAGAATTGGTGGTTACAACTTATATTACATCAACATCTTTTATCACACAGCTTTACGTATTTCCTCCTCCTTTCTTATAAAAGCTTAATGGAATTCAGTTTCTGTTTTATATTGTAGGCTATCTTTGCCTATTTTACTTAAAAAATTTTTAAAAAGAAATATTGCAGTGTCTGGCATAAGGCAGCCAACTCAAAGACAATCCTTTCCTTAAAGAAATATTTAGGGGGGCTGGGAAGGTGGCTCAGTGGTAGAGCGCTTGCCTTGCATGCCTGAGGCCCTGGGTTCCATTCCTCAGCACCACATAAGCAAAAAGAAAAAAGCCGGAAGTGGCGCTGTGGCTCAGGTGGTAGAGCACTAGCCTTGAGCTGAAGAGCTGAGGGACAGTGCCCAGGCCCAGAGTTCAGGCCCCATGACTGGACCTCCCCCCCCAAAAAAAAAATATTTAGAAAAAATACGTAACAGGGAGACAGTTAAACCTTGTTTTCTGGGGCTATTTTACTATGGTACAAATGAAATAGTATGAAAAGATTATGCATCTGAGTCCATTATAGAGAACATAAAATTTGGATTTCTTTTTTTTTTTTTTTTTTGGGGTCCAGTCGTGAGGCCTGAACTCTGGGCCTGGGTGTTGTCCCTCTGCTCTTCAGCTCAAGGCTAGCGCTCTACCACTTGAGTCACAGCGCCACTTCCGGCTTTTTTCATTTTGCTTATGTGGTGCTGAGGAATCGAACCCAGGGCCTCAGGCATGCAAGGCAAGCGCTCTACCACTGAGCCACCTTCCCAGCCCCAAAATTTGGATTTCTATAGCCTACTTGCATTCTGACATTTACTAAAGGTTTTTCCACCAAATATCTTAATAAATGTTACCACAGTCTATTTATTAAATGCTTTAAATCAGTTCTGGTCTATTACCAAGTGATGTGGACTTGAAGATGTGGAAAATGAAAAACTTTTATGTTTAAACCTTTAATTACATAGGAAAGGAATCTTTCAGAAAAAGAAGAGAAATAGTAGGTCTTCTGTCTTTCTAAAAAGAATACCATTGTTATAATTTTATATTTGCAATAGACAGTATTAGAACATAAAATCCTTGCAGGCAAAATCACATCATATGCTGATTATCTTGTAACAGGAGAATTCCATATATTTTTATTATTAAAAAAATTGTTAGGGCTGGGAATGTGGCTTAGTGGTAGATTGCTTGCCTAGCATACATGAAGCCATGGGTTCGATTCCTTAGTACCACATAAGCAGAAAAAAAAAAGCTGGAAGTGGCGCTGCGCCTAGTGGTAGAGTGCTAACTTTGAGCAAAAGAAGCTCAGAGACAGTGCCCAGGCCCTGAGTTCAAGCCCTAGGACTGGCAAACAAAACAAAAAATTATTATTGTACAAAGTGGTAACAGTTCCATACTTAGAATTTAAGTACAATGCATCTTTTTTTTTTTTTAAGGTTGGTCGTGGGGCTTGAACTCTGAGCTTGGGTGCTGTCCCTGCACTCTTTCAGCTCAAGGCGAGTGGTCTACCACTTGAGCCACAGCGCCACTTCCAGTTTTCTAGTGGTTTATTGGAGATAAGAGTCTCAGGGACTTTACTGCCCAGGCAATCTTGGAACTGCAATCCTCAGATCTCAGCCTCCTGAGTAGCTAGGGTTACAGGTGTGAGCCACCGGCGCCCGACATACAATGCATCTTGACCTATCATCACTCTCCCCCACATAAAATATTTTTGTTTTTTGAAACTCATGGCCTGGGCCCTGTCCCTTAGCTTTTTTTTGCTCAAGGCTAGCACTCTATCATTTGAGCCCCAGCTCTACTTTCAGCTTTTTTGATGGTTAATTGGAAATCAGAGATTCATAGACTTTGCTGCCCAGGCTAGCTTCAAATCACAATCCTTAGATCCTATGTAGCTAGAATTACAGGCATGAGCCACCAGTGCCTGCCCACAAATAATTTATGTATCAATAATTTAAATCTGCTAATTTAGTTACTTAATAGCCTTTTGTAGTTTATACATTCTTTAAAATGTTTTAGGGAAAATATATATTAAATATACTTTTAAATATATACTAAATATACTTTTTGTTAATACAATATCAGGTTTATCGATAAACCTGAATAATGATGGAGGAAACTCTTTAGCCACCAAAATGTTTCCCATTTAATCATGAGAAATATATCTTTTATAAAATTCTACATTTATATAACAAGATTTCAATTTTTCATTAAATAATATAAAAGCATCAGTGTTCTTACTGTGTGCCCTCCCTCTTCTACCTTTTTTTTTTTTTCATTCAGGATCACATGTAGGTGGCCTTCAATTAGGTGAATAATTATTGAATGTCATTAAAAGGCAAGGATAGGCTGGAAGATACAAATACCCTCAGCCAAGGAAGCATAGAATGTGTATGGATAATGGTAATAGAAGTAAAAACTAAATTTCTTTAAATTAGTAAGTATTTAATGTAAAGATGGTATAGTATAAGACTTAATAACTTAAACACAGGGGTAAAATTAAATGTCAGTACTCACCCTTGGACAGATTATTTCCCTACTATAAGCCTTTATTTATTCAGCATTAAAATTATAATTCTTACCATAAGATATCCTTTGAGTACCGATGTCCTGCTTAATAGATGGAATTTTCAACACATATTAAGTCCACGTATTGTTAACTCATAAATAGACAAGTGCCAGTGATTCATGCATGTTAAAAACAGAAGAGAGCTGGGAAGGGTGGCTCCATCCTGTAAACCAAACTATTTGGGGGATAGAGATTGGAGAGTGGAAGTTTAAGGCTATCCTAGACAAAAATAATTTGCAAGATCCCATTTTCACCAATGACTGGGTTTCTGTCATCCTAGCTACAGGGAAAGCACAAGGGCTGGATGTGGTAGAGTGCACACTAATGTATACTAGTGGTGGGAAGCATACTAGTAAAAGAATCACAGTCCAGCTCAAGCATAAAGTGAGACCCTATCTCACAAATAACAAGCAATACAAAGTTCCAAGTTAACCTCAGTACCAGAAGAGTGGAAAAACCAAAACAATTTTAATAAAAAGAAGATAAGCCAGGCTTGTTGGTTTGGAGAAATAAATAATAAAACTCAGAAAATAGAACAGCAGAAGAGATTTTAAGGGATGCAAAGGAGAAGTCAAGGAAATATTGCTCTGTTAGCAAAAAATGAGTCATGGTTGAGCATGGAATGGGAGCTAGATACCTGTGATGAGAAGAAAAATCATATGTTTTAAAGGAAAATTATACATGACAAACTGCTTGAGTCATCACCTGTACTGTTTAATTAGAAGTTTTCAGAAGGCTCCATAAAGTCATAACTTTTTTTCCTTTCGACTGTGTAGGCAGTGCTATCTTTTCTCAAACACCAGCACACTCAATATAATAAAAATTGGCCCATTCAATATAGTAACTACATTTTATGATTTCTATCTCTATACAACTGGGCAATGATGGCTCATGTCTGTAATCCTAGCCGCTCAGGAGGCTGAAATATGAAAATTGTGGTTCAAAGCCAACCCAGGTATACAAGTCTGAGACTCTGTATTTAACCAGCAAAAAGCCCAAAGTGGAGACATAGCTCAAGTGATAGAGCATCAGCCTTGAACAGAAAAAGCTAAGCAAGATCTTGCCCTGAGTTCAAGCCCTGTACCATCACAAAAATTAGAAAATAAACAATAAATGAATGAATTTCTGGAATATACACTTAATAACAAATACCACTTTTCCAGAGCATCTCATATTTTACATAACTTGAGCATGATTAAAGTAACAATAAATAAATCATAATAAAGAATCCTTTTTAAGTTGAAATAAAAATTTCCAGATTTTGAATAGATTGGTCTCTTAAATAGGGAACTAATTGAAAAAGTATTATCTAAGAAGCACAAACTTTCAGGCCTATTTTTTTTTAACTATATAAAATGTTAAACTTAAGCCCCAAGACTGGCACCAAAAATTTCTTAACTTTGTCTATCAGATATTTTGTAACATACTAGAATTAAGGAAACAGGTTAGAAATGACTAAAATATATTTAATAATTACCATTTTTTAAAGTTACTGAGTTTAAATGTTGTTAAAAGTTAGGATTTGGGGAAAGTTTTCTCTCTGACAGCAAGGTTCTTGTTTTGAAAAATTGAAAAGGTATTGTCTTGCTTTTATGACAGTGGTTACTAAAAACAGGTACAGTTCTTTCTCAGGTAATAATACAGCGGTGCAGTCAAGATTTGAATTCATATCCATCAGATTAGTCATTTTTTATTACCATTCCAACTAACTAGAAGCACATTTGCTTATTTATGATTATTTGGATTTGTGAGTCTTGTTTTGTTTTTGCCAATCCAGAGGCTTGATCTCTGGCCCAAGCTCTGTCCCTGAGCTCCTTTTGCTCAAGGCTAGTATTCTACCACTTGAGCCACAGCGCCACTTTTGTCTTATTCTGTGATTTAATTGAAGATAAGAGTCTCACAAGACTTTTCCTGCCTGGGCTAGTTTCCAACCATGATAGAGTTCTCAGCCTTCTGAGTAGCTAGGGTTACAGGCATGAGCCACTAGCACCTGACTTTGAGTTTGGTTTTTACTGATTGAAATAATTTGTTTACATTTGAGGTTTTATATATATATATATTTTTTTTTTTAATAATTACAGTTTACAGAAGAAAAGCTTGGCCAAGCAGAGAAGACAGAATTGGATGCTCACTTAGAAAACCTTCTTAGCAAAGCTGAATGTACCAAAATATGGACAGAAAAAATAATGAAACAAACAGAAGTATTATTGCAGCCAAATCCAAGTAAGACGTTTGTTTTTTTTTTAACCTATAATCTAATTTGATTAAAGTATTGTTAGTGGGTTTTCTTAATGTTACAAATACAATTTTTGTGGCGTTAAGGTCTTTGGCATGTGTGCATGCGTGCATGTGTGTTTGGAAAAAGATGAAATGATAAAACACTTTTCTTTGTTTATTCTCTAAGAAATTTACAAATAACATTATTCAGACCTTTACTGAATCCAAAATTTTAAGTTTTATATTTTACATAAATTATTGTTTGATTTTCAGATATCTATGAGATTTTTCCAGTTATTCAAGTCGATGACAATAATTACTTGTTGAATGAAATTTTCCAGTTAGCCTCTTATCCAATACAGCATAGTTAATTAGAAGTGGAACATGACTAAAACTATAGAAGTATTGATGGCCTTTTCACTATAAGCTTTAAGTATCAAAACATGGGTGCTAAGTGACCATGTTATAAAATGCTATGAACTTACTTTTAGGTAATAAAACTCCCAGTATTGCAAAAACTACTAGTAAGTCCCTGACAGTTAAGTTAAAATTACCTTTATAAATAAGCCATCTGCCCCTGGAGTGAAGCTTACTGTCTTTGGCTCATGTAATATTTCTTACTCGTTTAAGTCCATCTAAATTATGTACCAGGACACTTTTAAAAAGTAACAGACATTTTCCCTCTCATTCCTTATTCTATACAGAGATCCCCCATAAAAAACATGTATGTCTCCACACTTATTTTTCTGAATGGCAAATAAACTCTTACATATGAGTTAGTGAGAATACAGTATAATCCCCCTCCTGCCCCTGCCCATTCTCCTGTCTTCATTAATGTGCAGTAATAACAAGATTTTGCTTCTTGGTATAAAGTTACATCAGTATTGGGTGATCAGTCACATTTTCTTTGACCTATAAGCCTTGGTTTTTCTTTTTGTTTTTATGCTAGTTCTAGGGTTTGAACTCAATGCCTTGTACACACTTGTCTTTTTTGCTCACAATTGATGTTCTGCCTCAGAAGCCACATCTTTAACTTTGTTATTGTTAGTGTTTGATTCTTCATAAGCTATATTCTTTCCAGAAATGAGGTGTGTGTGTGTATACATGTATTACACTAAAGCAGGATTGCTTGCATTCTTAAGATTTTATGACCTATTGAATGAATTATGACCGTTTGAATTCATTTTAAAATGAGTCAGTTACTTATTAATATACCAAAGATTTGGTTAACTGGATCAAATCAGAAGGTCTTTGAAATTTGACAAGATTGGGGAAAAAGCAGTTAGACTAAAAATCAATTGGAAAAATTTCATTAACATTTCCTAAATGCTTGTTTTGAAATTAAATTACTCTTTGTTTTTAACTAATGCTTAAATTCTGCTTTTTGTGATATTTGTATCAGAATCTTCCACTAAAGGAAGTATCATTCCAAATTCCTATGGATATATGGTTCCAAGGAAACCACCTGGAAAAATAACTACAAATACTCAGGATGCAAAGTTCTTCTGCTAAAGATATACCACCTTTCAGCAAATCTAAAATTTTTACTTATCACTTCAATTAAACATATTAACTTTTTACTGGGCTTTTTGGGCACCCTTGAGGGCAGGCAGACGGCAGAACATGCATAGTTTAGGTACAACTGACAATAAGGTAATACTGGCTGAGAGTTTCCTTCACATTAAAAGCTATGTAATGTGTACAGATACATTAATTTGGTTTTCAATTTTCTTCTGCTTTTTTTTTTTTACCATGCTTGGTCAAACTTCATGGTATATAAATAAGGCAGGCTTACTATAGTGCATGTATTTCATGTATTATAAATTAACCCTTTTATGTACTGCAGCTAAACCTTTTACCTTCTTCTGGAGAATTTCTATTACTGATTCAACACAATAAATTTTTAGTGCACTATGTGAAAATTATATTACATAGGAATCAATACACAGTGTAGTACTTACAAGGAACATATTTGATGTAGCTGAATTTTGGATTGTAATTTTAAGTTATGTATACTTTTGTTTCTGAAATTTTAATCTATTTAATACTGAAGTACCTTGCTGTTAGTAATGTAAATGTGAATTCCTTGGGTCTTAAATATCACCCTAACTAACCATTATTAGGCTTTTCTAGTTGTTGTTGTTGTTGTTTTTACTCATTCATTCTCTAATGTCTGTTACTACTTTTATCCTTTGTCTTATATTTTTAACAATTAAATCTTTTAAATGAATGCATGTTCAGGGATAATACCTGCAGACCTATGTACTTTAAGCATAACTAAAGCAAAGGCTTTGTACTTCTAAGACTATTCCAAGCCTAGATTGTTCCAGTTCTTAAGCTCCTCTGTCTATATTTAGACTTGGCAAAAGAAAGTGAGTGCATGATCATACTAATGGTGTTAAATGGGAGTCTTTGGTTCTTTTAGACAATTATATTTACTAGCTTAAAAAAAAACGATTTTGAAATTTGTAGTTTAGAGTTTAAAAATAAGGCAATGATGACTTCAGTAGTTAAATACTATAAATCCTCTTCTGAAACAAAATCTCAAAAAGCTCTTGTGTTTAGCTTTATTTTAAAGTATTTTTGTGCCTAGACATATTAAGGAATTTCTAAAATGTAAGTTTCTTAGATCTATATAATACACTAACAAATTATATATGAAATGTATATATGAAATATGTACTTGAGTGGATGATAATTTCTTATTTAAGGGGGAATAAATTGCTGGTAAGAGTTGCAAACAATCACTTAAATTCTTTTTCAGTCAGGCTCTTGCTTTTATAGCTCAGGCTGACCTTGAGCTACTAGTTCTCCTGCCTCTGCCCCTCAGGTGCTAGGATTACCAGGATAACTTTCATACCCAGGACTTCTTGCTTTTTTGAAACTATTAGTAATTTTAACCTTTCTTTTAGATGCCAGAATAGAAGAGTTTGTTTATGAGAAACTGGATAGAAAAGCACCAAGTCGTGTAAACAACCCAGAACTTTTGGGACAATATATGATTGATGCAGGGACTGAGTTTGGCCCAGGAACAGCTTATGGTAAGCAAAGACCAAAAGATTCTGATAAAAAAATGTCCTTACATTGAAATTTTTTACTCCTTAAAGATATCACTGGCTAACTTTATTATGTTAAATTTTTGAAATGTAGAAAATAGAAGTGACCAACAATTGAAAAGTTTAATATTTAATATATTTAAGTATATATTTAGTTAAGAGAATTCACATCATTCTTAGTTTCAAAAGAATTAAATGAATCTTTTACTTGTATTCTCACTGATCTTCCAAACAAATCTGTTTTAAGACTTCTTGTGTTGTATTACAGCTGTTTATATATGTATCCTCTATTTGCTTTTTTTCTTTTTAATGCTTTCTTGTATGAGTATTTCTTTTCTGTTAACAGTGGATAATAACTCTGTATGTTTGGATTACATTTCATTTCAGTTGCTGTACTTTTAAATTTGCAGCTCTCGAGCTAACATTTTACATCTTTATTATCACTCATAGCTAATTTTATAACAACATGAGACTTTCTGATTTATATAGCCAATAATTCTCTTTAAGACTGCATTAGAAATTGGTCCTTTTTTGACTCTGAAATGATAGGTAGATTTAATGAATTTCTACAGATTTGGTTTATGAAATAGCTCTTAAATTCTTGAATTACATTAATGTCAAGTTTTACTAGTTATTAACCCATTGAATGGCTTCTTAGATGTACAACACTGAGATATTTACAGTATATTCTTCAAATTCTAATTCTTTCAAATGTCTGAAAATACTTAAACTTGAGACTACCTCTAAATTTTAATTAATTTTTGGAAAAATATACTAAACATGTTTTATTGCTTTTTTGTTCTCCATCCTTAACGGTATGTGAAGGAGACCAGTTCCTTCATTTACCAAGCTAAAGGCCTGTTAAACCAAGAACACATTAGAAAAGCTTTTAGAGGCGGGCACTGGTGGCTCATACTTGTAATCCTAACTACTCTGAAGGCTGAGATCTGAGGACTGAGGTTTGAAGCCAGCCTGGGCAGAAAAGTCTGTAAGACTCTTATCTCCAATAGACTACTCAGAAAAGGCTAGAAGCGGTGCTGGTGCGGAAGTGGTAGAGAACTAGCCTTGAGCCAAAGAAACTCAAGGACAGCATTTAGGCCCTGAGTGCAAGCCCCAGGATCAGCACAGAATAAAAATGTTTTTATAGTTTCTCCTTTTTTTTAACTTGCTTAGTCTGTATATACCTCTAGTAATTCTGGGAAATGTATTCTGATTATTAGCCTGGGCTAAAGTAGTAAAAGTGAAATGAGTATCCAGGCATTGGGCTAAACACTACACAATATATTTACATGTTATAGCCATAAGTCCTCAAGTTGTTTTAGTTTTTTGAGACAGAACTCAAACATGTGGCCCAGCTTGACCTTGAACTCAAGATCCTTATGCCTCATCTGACTAAATTCTGGGAGTACAAGTATTCACCAAGAATATATCCTGTTTTAACATAGATTCTGTTGTCTCCATTTTAAACACAAGGTAACCCAGGCTTGAAGAAATTAAGTAATCCCTAATCACATAGCTGGCATTTGAAATGCTTATCTATCTTTTTCCAGCTAATTACTTTCCTTACCAATCTGACCTCATTATAACCTGAAGGATTAAGATCTACAGCAAATAATTAGGAAAACTGAAACTCTAACTCTGATCTAGGGTTCCTTTCTACTCTGCTCCCTTGTGTGTGTACACATGTGTACACGTTGTGTGCATGTGTGCGCACACGTGTACACTGCTCCTGAGCTTGAGCTTGGGCCTGGGCGCTGTCCCTAAGTTTCTTCACTTGAGGTTCGTGGCTAGTGCTCTACCACTTGAGCCACAGTGCCACTTCCAACTTTTTGGAAGTTAATTGAAGATCTCATGGACTTTCATTCCTGGGCTGGCTTTGAAATTTGATCCTCAGAGCTCAGCCTCCTGAGTAACTAGGAGTACAGATGAGAGTCTCTGAAACCCAGCTTCTGCTCTGCTTTTTTTTTTTTTTTTTGCCGGGCCTGGGGCCTGAACTCTGGGCCTGAGCACTGTCCTCAGCTCTTCAGCTCAAGGCTAGAACTCTACCAAGTGAACCATAGCACCACATCTGGCTTTTTCTGCTTATGTGGTGCTGAGGAATCGAGCCCTGGGCCTCATGCATGCAAGGCAAGCACTCTACCACTGAGCCACCTTCCCAGACCTCTGCTCTGCTTTTTAACTCTGCTTTGCAGCAACTATGCTATAATCTATTTAAATATCAGGTAAAGGTAGAATGAAACATGTTTTCTTAAAATATACAAAAATACGCCATTCAGCATTATTTATTAGCCCGGGTTTGTTTTTCTGAGTATAACTACACTGTTTGAACAGTGACTAAAAATTATTCTGTAACTGTCCTCTTTAAAACCATTGGTAGAATTTGTGCAATTATATGATAGAAAATTTGTCTTTCTCATTTAGATGTTTTTCTTATATTTACTTTTAAATAAACCATTACATTACTGACAAACAAGGGACAAATAACTTTTAAGCTTACCTAAAAGGTGAAATATCTTTATATGATTTTTAGATTTCTAACCAGTCACTAATTGTTTTTTCCTTTGCAGGTAATGCCCTTATTAAATGTGGAGAAACACAAAAACGAATTGGAACAGCTGACAGAGAGTTAATTCAAACATCAGCCTTAAATTTTCTTACCCCTTTAAGAAACTTTATAGAAGGAGATTACAAAACAATTGCAGTGAGTTGGAAAATGTTCCCTGTCTTTTTTCTTTAGTAGTTTACATATATACTTAATTTTTAATGAATAATTTTCTTTTTAATGACTGCAAGTATAGCAGATTAGAACACTTTAAATATTCTAAGTCAGTATAGTCTCCAAACCCCAAAGCTAAACCAAAATAATGGACTGTTAATAACATCGATTCTGTTATAAAGATGTCTTTACATCCATTCTCACTTATTACAGCACTGAAATCTATATTTTCCCAACTATTCCATGAATTTATCTAGAGTACAAGATAGTCATTGTGAGTTATTTAAACTCAAGCTAGAAACTTATTGGAATGTATATTTCTGCTACTATCCTTTATCTCTACGTGCATCCTGCAAGTTTTTTCATAGTATTTTTTTCCAAAGTATAAAAATTAAAGCTGTTCTTCCTTCATTAAACCTTATCTGTTAACCTTTATTTTTCAACTTTTTCTGTTAGCGATGCAAATCTTGGTAGATTTTTTTTTCCCTAGGATTTTTGTTGCTTTTGTTGTAAATATAACTTTAGACTTTAATTTTCATATTTCCTTTACTTTTTGAGGTGGGAGAGGTTCATAATTTATGTTGTATATTTATTTTGAGTTAATACTAGATTATTTGTCTATATATGGGCTGAGTGAAGTGGTTAGAAGGTCAGATTCACATTTTACCTGAGACATCATTGTATATTTACAAAAAGGAGAAAGATAAGAAAAGCGGGCATTGTTGAATTAAATTAGGATATAGTTATTGCTTCATATTTTCACAAAAGACATTTTATAACTTTTAAGATTTCTGCTAATTGCATATAGTAATGTATTATACAAAAGGATGTTAGTACAGGTTGAAAAGAACAAAACAACTATTCTCATGTGTTGCCATAATTATCCAGCTTCATTTTCAAATAATTACATTTATGTAAATCTACTATTAAAATCAGTGTTATTTATACAGTTAGTCCCTAATGAATTCAGTCAACTTGCCATGATCCTATCCTTTTTAAACAAGACACTGATATTTCTGAAATTCACATATTCATTGTTACAAAATAGAGAAGCTTTTAATGGTGTATTTGCAGTGAATTTGTTTCTCTGTGAAGTATTTGAATTGATAAAAGAACTACTAAATAGGATTTAAAAGATATTAATGTATGGAATCTAAGAAAACAGACAGTTATAGTCAACTTGACTTTTACACAGAAGCTTGAGGAATTCTAAAATATTAATGTTTGTTGTTCATTCTTTCTTTTTTGTGTGTGTGCCAATCCTGGAGCTTGAACCCAGGGCCTAGGTGCTGTCCCTGAGGTTTTGGTTTTCGTTTTGCTGAAGTCTAGTGCTCTACCACTTGAGCCATGGCTCCAGTTCCAGCTTTTTGGTAGTTAATTGGTGATGAGTCTCACAGACTTTCCTGCCTGGGTTGACTTTGAACTGCAATCCTCATATCTCAGCCTTCAGAGTAGCTAGGATTACAAGTGGGAGCCAGTGGTACTCTGCTTATTATTCATAGTTTATGTTTGAAATTCTGTTTCAGAGCAGTTGCATTACATTCACTGCTATGATGCATTAAGAATAACCTTCCAGTCCATGAAATAAATCACATAGGATATCAAGGAACCTTGCCCTAGGTTTATTTTTCCTTCACTTTAAGTACTTTGTTAGATAATCCATGATAGTTTTAAGGTTTCTGGACTTGGCCTCCACCAACATTGTGGGCCAAATGAGTCTTTGTTGTAGTAACTGTGTTGCATTGTAATTTGTTTAGTAGAATCATTGGCTTTACTCAGAAGACACTAGTGACACCACCTAATTTTATCAACCAAAAAAATATTGCCACGTGTTCTCTAGAGGCAGGAAAACAGACTGTCAGATCATTAGAGCTCATATTCCTTTGCTTTTATGCCAGATTCTCCAGCTATATGCAGAATGTCTAAAATGTCTAGCTCATTTTAAAATGAAAAAATGCTAAAAGAAAGGGAGAAAGAAAAATATCTTCATAGTCACTCTATAGACAATTTTATAATCATAAATCTTATCAGATGTTACACGTATTTAATTAAAAGTAGTAGATGAAATTTGTATATTCTTTCTGTTTCAGTTATAAAGGCTAAGATTTTTTTCTTTTCTATAATATATAGAAAGAAAGGAAACTGTTACAAAATAAGAGACTGGATCTGGATGCTGCAAAAACCAGACTAAAAAAGGCAAAAACTGCAGAAGCTAAAAGTTCAGTAAGTAGTGTTTTTCTTTTTAAATAAAAACTAAGATTAAATAACTTTAAAATTTGTGCAATATTTTGCTAACATGTAAGTTTCAGACTATCATTTAGAAAATATGATTTTAGAGTCTTAGTTTTGTTTTAAATAAATTTATCAGAACTTAATACACCCCAAGTCATCACAGAGTAGTCCTATGAAGAGGAAAATCTATGTTGTCTATAAACACAGTACCTCCTAAGGGCTGAAGCATGATTTAAGTATCCTCAGTAGTGAATTTAATTAACATGAGAAAATATCAAGTTTGAGAACGTAAGTATGTAGCCTAAAAGTTAAATAAATTTAATTCCTATATCTGACTCAGACTGTTAAGGGGTTATCACCAAGAATAGTTTTAAAAGGATTCAAAAAGTGGCAGCCTAGACTCCCAAGTAGCTATTTTGAAGGGAGAGAAACCCATTTGGATAAATTAAGTTCCAGTATAATTTTCAAAAACTCAACCTCAGATTTTTTTTTCAAATTACATTAAATTTGAAAATGATTCAATTATATATATATATTTTTATACATATATTTTAATATATAACTTTTTTTTTTATCCAGTCTTGACACTTGAACTCTGGGCCTGGGAACTATCTCTAAGCTTCTTTTGCTCAAGGCTTGAGCCATAGCTCTACTTTTGGGTAATTTATTGGAGATAGACTCTCAGACTTTCCTGCCTGAGCTTGCTTCAAAACCATGCTCCTCAGACCTTGGCCTCCTAAAGTAGCTAGGATTACAGGCATAAGCTACTAGCACCTGGTTATATATAACTTTTTAAGGTCTTATAAGCTTTTTAGCTAATCTAACTACTATTTGTATTTTCAGTCCAAAGTTAAAAAAGGTTATTCAGAGTTAAACTAGAATACTTTTACTGTTGTACAGTATAAAAAATTACAGTTTTGTTAGAGGAAGCTAACAAATTCTTAATTCGAAAAGGAATATGTTTTTGTTGAGAAGCAGAATTCTAGCCTCTATTTCTAACTCTGTACTGCTGTCAAAAATCATTCCCTTAGTTGAATATATTAATACAGTGCTGGTAGAAGTCAGTTTTCTTGATTTGGTTGAGATAGTATAGAGTGAAATTTAAAGCTTGGTGTTAATCAGTGATAACATGATACTACCCCAATACCTTTTATAAGCAATATGCACTTTTTCTTTTTGACAGACCTGGGCCTTGAACTCAGAGCCTGCAACTTTTTGTGCTCAAGGCTAGCAATCTACCACTTGAGCCACAGCACCATTTCTGGCTTTTTCTAAGTAGTTTATTGGAGATAAGTATCGTAAGGTCTTTTCTGCCCAGGTTAGCTTCAAACTGTGATCCTTAGATTTCAGCCTCCTGAGTAGGTAGGATTACACATGTGAGCAATTAAAACCCAGCTAAAATATGCTTTTTCTATTGGATTTCCTTTTTGGAGATTTTTGTACTAGTAACTGCTGGAGAAGAGCTATCTCTGATAAGATATTAATTTCAAATTCAATTTTTTTCACTTCAAAACTTACCGTGACATCATAACCACAGTGTTAATTCCTTAAACAGATGAATTTAACTTTAATTCCCTAAACAGATGAATTAAACTTTAATACAGTAGGGCTGGTCAGGTGGCCCAGGTAATAAACTGCTTACCTAGCTTGGTCTATGCCCTGGGTTCTGTTTAAAAAAAAAAAAAAAGCTTGTAAACAGCAAAAGACCTTGCAATTTATAAACACAAATTGGTTTTTAAGACACTAATTTTATAACCAAGAAAAAGTTAAATATTATTTAGAAATAAACATTGGAACTAGAACAAAAACTTTAAAAAAATACCTGAATAATAAGCTAGGCACCAGTGGTGCATGACTAGAATCCTAGCTACTCAGAAGTATGAGATCTGGAAGATCTCGATTCTAAGCAGTTGGAGCAAGAAAGTCCACTAGATTCTGTTTCCAAAAGTAACCAGCAAAAAGCTAGGCTAGAGATGTGGCTCAAGTGGTAGAATGCCAGCCCATAAAGCAAGCCAAGCAAGTTCAGGCCCTAAATTCAAACCCCATTGCCATAAGAAATAAATATAAAAGTAGACAAGTTTTGAGAACTTTTGTTTTTAAAACATGTAGAGGAAATATTGGCAATTTTCGGTGCTGTGTATTTTGGAGCACAAATTTTTTTTCTGTGGAAATTTTTGTTTAAAATTAAGCTTTAAAGCTATACAAGTGACATAATCCAACAATTTCATTTATGTGCAATTTTCTAGAATTTCAGTTATGTAAAACTCTTTATAGCCAAATAGTAAAGATACTAGTTTAGACAAAAGCTCATTTTTTCTGGTTTTAGTCTTATTCCTTCCTCTAGATAATCAACTTACTTCCTCTAGGTAATCAACTTATTTGAAACATTATATCAATTAAGTATGAATTGCTTTGGGTAGGAAAAGTTGTCTTTGTTTTCTACAAAAAACATTAAAGAATGTTGTATTTGGTGATTTTTTTTTGTTTCTTTGGGGTTTTTTTGTTTCTCTTTGTTTCTTTCTCTTTATATAAATAATACAAAATAATAGAAATCGTTTAGAGTTTTGCTCTTTTCCTTTTGACACCTTTCTTAGTTCCTACTTGGCAACTGAAAGGGTTAATCTAACTCCAGACTTTATTTAATTTCTGATTTACCAGTAAGGTTTGAAACTTACACATGGCACTACTTTTTGTAAAAGCTTTCATTTTAATAGTTTCCTGTGACCTCTTGCTTACATTCTTTATTTTTTGAGTGTGAATTTTGTGAAATGTACTCTAATGGGGAGGATTCAGAGGTAAATAATGCAACATACTCAGTCCTCAGTTTATTGAATTAGACTAGACATTTTTTCTTTTTTGATAGTAGTGGAGTTTGAATTCAGGGTCTCACAGTAGGCAGGCACTCAGCCCCTTGAGCTATGCTCCCTACCCTTTCTACTTATTTTTCTATAACGTTTTAACTGTACTCTTTATCTAAGGCCTCCTGCAAAGCTTTACTTACACGAAGGCAGTACTAAGCCTGGCTAATTTGTTGTGTACTCCAACGCACCTGACCTGTTTGTTGTTGGGCGGTCTCAATTTTTTCTCCTCAAGACTAGCTGCCTAATCTCTGCCCCCTGAGTAGCTGGGATCACAGGTGTGAGCCATGTTGCCTAACCCTAGATTAAATTTTTTGATGACAGACCTATCAGTAAAAAAAAAAATTTTTTTTTGCTTATATCCAATCTTGCTGTTTTAATACATTGTTTTACTTATTAGTATATCAAGAATGGTAATATCAAACACATTTCTCAAAATAGTCTAGCTTAACATAAAAGTCAGTTGTTTCACAGTGAATAAATAAAAGTATAGTTTTACAAATAGTTGTAGGTACAGTAAAAGTTGGGCTGGGAAGGGGGCTCAATAAATTCCTGAAGTCTTAGGTTCAGTCTCAAACCTAAAAAATAAAAAACTGCCATAGGCGAGAGGTACAATGATGAAATATAGTTAAACTACATTGTACTTACATCTGTCTTTTTCTTTTCTTATGCTGATCCTGGGGCTTGAATTCAGGGCCTGGGCCCTGTCCCTGAACTTTTGTACTCCAGGTTAACACTCCACCACTTGAGCCACAGCTTCACTTCTGGCTTATTTGGAGATTAGAGTCTCATGGACTTTCCTGCCCAGGCTGGCTTTGAACCATGGCCTTCAGATCTCAGCCTCTTCGATAGCTAGGATTTTAGGTGTGGACCACCAGTGCCCTGCCATAACCTAATCTTAATCTAATATCATTAATGAGAAAACATACTAGCTGGCTTCAAAGTTCTGCAGTATTTAGAGATTTCGACCTGCTGTTTGAGCATCCAAATTTGATGGAAAACATTTATTTAGATACCTCACACAACCATATTCCCTCTACACACTTATATATTTCCACAGCAGTCTAAATCTTTAGCCTGCAATTTCAGTAACATTTATAGCATAGCTACATGCTATAACCCTAACTTGAGTCTATGTACATGTTTGAATTTAAAGTGTATGGCAAAACCTAGTTGAGGCTGATTCAAAAAGAACATGGTTGAAGCAATCATAAATTCATAACACAGAAATGAGTTTTGAAGTAGGGTGTGGGTAGGCAGAAGTTTTCACTTTCCTTAGGTGAAAGCAATAACTTCAGCTAATTAGCAATTTATAAGTAATATACCTTCCCAAAATGAGACTAATTTAAAATTAAGTATTAAATCTGTTTTATTTGAAAATTTGACCTTTGAGAAAATTGAGTAAGCATCACCATATGAAATTTCATAGAATAATAAATACAGTTGTATTTTTTAAATAAAACATTTTATTTGCCTTTTTAACGCTTGTTTAGTGTTTGCTTTATTGTGCAGAAGTAATCTTGATTCACTGTGTTCATTGGTATAATGTGTTCTTTGTCTCTTGCCTATGCACTTAAGCAACTAAACTCAGCTCGCCCTGAAGGAGATAACATGGTAAATTTCTTTTACATGCTCAACTTCCTGCATGTAAAATGGCTGAAGGTTTGTTGGCCTACTGTGTTTTCTACATCTTGAATAAAAGTGCCTTCTCTTGTTATTAGCTGCATATAAAACTAAAATAATAGTACAAGTCATGCATTCACTATATCTAAGAAAGCATATTGGCTAAAATGACCTTGAAATTTGGGGGGGGGTGGAAGATGATGGTATATGTTCTAATTGCCCAATATATTGATGCCAGATACAAATGTTACAAGTATAGAGAGAAAATGTTTTTATGTACCCAATAAAATATACTAATTTAAGCTAGCACCTTGTATTTTTACTTGGGCACTGAAAATTAACAAGCTTTATCTTACTTGTAAAAAAGTAAAGGTATACAAATTGACTTTGATTCTTGGTAGCTTCAAAACTTACTATTTTAAGAAATTATTTTCTTCTGCTAATTTAGGCTAACACAAACTCCTGGAGGTTGATAATTCCTACAGTGGTCATGTCCATTCCACATCCTGTGCTAACTCACTTTCAGGATGGTGATGGCCTGGGGAAAAATTGAGAATGAGAATTGTTTGTATTATTGAATGTACATATTGAGCTCAGTTTGAGGAAACTTTTGTTATTAGAACTTTTTAAATTTTATTACAATAGGAAATTGTAAAATACAAGCATAGAAAATTTATTTATTAACCAATATAAATTGGTAGTCTTAGTATTATACACTGATGCTCATTTAGAAGTGGCATGAAATCTGCATTACAGTTAAACTTGCAGTAAATTAACTTGTTTTATTCTATTAGCATTGAACTAAAAGCAGAAAAAAATGTTTCTTGAATTCATATTTGATTTTTTTTAACTTATAATTTTTGAAGCCCTGTCTAAATTAGGGCTTTTCCTTAGATAGCAAGAGAATGCATTTCCATTGTCCTATCTAGGTAAATGAAAAGCATGAAAATATTTCAGTCATTGCTAATTAAGTATATAAATTGTAGGAATTTTTTATTTTAGGTAAAAATATCCTAACAATTAGCAATGCTTTGCTTATATAATGTGCTAAGTATTTGTTTTATATGTTGTCTACTTATAGTCATATATAGTTAAATCTGGTGATCATAAATTCATTTTATTTTACGTTAATTATCTCTAAAATGACTAGATCAACAGTATCTAGTCTCCATATATCCTTGTTTTATTTTTCATTTCCTAAAATTTTATAATTTATGCCTGGAAGAAATTTAAAATTATCCCAAACATTTCATTTTATAGTTGAGAGAACTCATACAAACTAGATATTTCCAAAATGGGAAAGCTGTAATTCAGTTAATACAGATTTTTCACTTGATCATAATGATACATATAAAAGGCATACTCAAAATATTGTTTACTGATTTAGTTACTACTGTGTATAATTTATGATTCTGGAAAAAGTATGCCATTTAAATTAAAATGCATTTTTCTATAATTGTAGAAAATGTTAAATTCCAACTTTCTTTCATGCTCTATATCTTTCTCTGATTTTTAATGCTGGCTAGATTTGGGCAGAGGAAGTGACAAAAGTAAGTAAATCATTAAACTACAGAATTATGAAACAAGAATTTAATTGCCATTCATTCACTAAGTATTTATTGAGCACCAGCTTGGAGCCAGTCACAATCAGTTTTTCTGTATCTTAAAAATGTGAAAGTTAAGGATTAATGTTCAAGTCTGTTTGGCTAATAGCAGTTCCATAGAGCAGTAGAAAAAGGCTGCAGGGGTGTGGTTTACACACACCATGATGAATCCTAGGGAACAATTAAATTTGTAGATTTATAGTGCCTTGCTAAAAGACAATCAGTACCTGTTCATTGATAATTATTTTAAAACTGAAGTTTGTTGTCTCCAGTACTGAAGCTAATTTTTCACCTTAGTAGAAAATATCTCTAAAATGTGGACTTTACAGCCTTATTAAACACAGGAGGACAAGTAATTTCATTTTACTTACAGTTAAGATCATAAATTACAAATATCCCTGATGTAACAATTGGAGCTATTGGTTTTTGTCCTTTCCCTCAATGTCAGACTGTTATTTCTAGAAGCTGTCTGTATTACTTAGGTTTGCAGTCCCTCTGCCTGTGTGTTACAACTTTAATATCTGAGCTGGGAAAGCAAATAACAAAGCAAGAATTTAAAGAATTAAATTATGACATTAGTGCATATTTGTTTCAAATAGTAGGTCTTGAGAAGCATTTTTCATTACTCCCCATGCTCAGCCCTACCAAATCATCTTCTAGATGAATCTGATGCTGGGGACCAAGAACAGGTGACAACAATGTCTCTAACTTTTAATAGCTTTACAAACTTTAACTTTGTAGTTTATACACTAGTAGTAGGATTGCTGGTTATAGTCTGTTTCTTGCATAGGTTATTGAGCTATTGTTTCCGTGACTTGGAAATTCTTTGTGAAATTCTTAAGCTCTCATCACCATTTGTGAATATTTTGACCAATTTAGTTTGTTTCCATCCTGGCTTCTGATTTCCTCCTGAACTTCCCTCTTAGCATGAAGAGAACAGAGAAATAAGTTAAAACAGGAAAACCTCTAGTGTCTTCCATTTTGTGGATAGGCACGCCCTGACCCCAAAAATATGTATCTGACTTGATATTGCACCTTCTACAAGTTTTGGAAGTAGCTGTAAATAATCATGAAATGAATGTTTATATTATGTAGTTACATAAGCAAATATGTCAAAATGGATTTGAAGAGTTTTTCTATGGTCTTCTGGCATTTTATAGTTGGAATTTTTATAATTTGAAATTGTATAAATTAAAAAATTTCATCTTCCTGGAATATTTCAGACTTAGGGCCATAAAGATGTAGATGGCAATAACAAAAATTATTACAGCAAAAATTTATAGCTTATATATAATTCTGATGTCATAAACCAACAGATTCTTGTCCATTTTACAAGTCACATCTTAAGAGAAATCTTACTGTATGCTTAACTCGTGGTATACTGTCATACAGCCTGGATTAACTAGTTAAGTACCAGTTATCTTGACAGGTAGTATTTCTGCTTAATGCCTATTTGATGTATAGTTTAGAAATTTTAAAATATAGGACAAAGAATTCTTCGGAGTAACCTAAGAACTATAACATTTAAGTGTTTGGTCACAAGAGGGTAGAAATCAAATTGAAGACTACTTTTGAAGTAAAAAAAAGTAGTAATTAAGGGGCTGGGAAGGTGGCTCAGTGGTAGAGTGCTTGCCTTGCATGCATGAGGCCCTGGGTTCAATTCCTCAGCACCACATAAGCAAAAAGAAAAAAGCTAGAAGTGGTGCTGTGGCTCAAGTGGAAGATTGAGTGCTAGCTTTGAGCTGAAGAGCTGAGGGACAGCACCCAGGCCCAGAGTTCAGGCCCACAACCAACAACAACAAAAAAAGTAATTAAGAGGTATTTGACAATTATTTTATATACAAAACAATGAGATTATATACAATCCTGAGATTTTGTAAAAAAAAAAATTAGCAAACTTAGATACTTGAAAGTATATTGACAACTGTCTAAAGTTTTCTAGGGTTTTATGAGAACAACATTAAACTTTGGCATTGATTCTTTTGAGTCAAATGCTGGTAAGGAATCACTGTATTGTGGCTGAGTGATTCAGAAAAGGTAAAGTCTAGAAATCATAGAGCAATTTAGAGCCTAAGCAGAATCTGAAATTACTCGATATAATTTGGGATTTGGTGAATTTTAACAATCTAAATGAGTGTAAATAAAATAGGTAAGTCTTCTAATGAGATTCTAAAACTGTTTCCTAATTTAAGTCTGAACAGGAAGTAAGAATAACTCAAAGTGAATTTGATCGTCAAGCAGAAATTACCAGACTTCTGCTAGAAGGAATCAGCAGTACACATGTAAGTATTTATTCACTGGAATTTCATTTGGAGCAAAACACCTTCATTTTGATGTAGTACCTGGGAGGCCAGGGCAGGAGGGCTGTGAATTCACCGTCAGTCTGAACTATACTAAGACCCCATCTCATACAAACAAGCAAATAAAAAAAGGACTGATAAATCTAAAACTGTGTGGAGAGTAAAAAAACTGAACTTGCTTTTCAGTCACTTATCTAGGAAATTTAAACTGGCATTTTCAAAGATATGTGAAGAAATACTTAAAGTTTTTTTTGGCTATAACTCATTACTTCTCCAAACCTTACCAAATTGTCTTTTTGGCTTTTTATTGACTAAGAAAACTTGGTTACTGGAACTGTTCACCAGGGTCAATCCTAATAAGCCTTATAATAAGATGCTAGGTACATGAGTCTCATTGCAGTGTTGTCTTAAGAGCTGCTAAGAACTGACTGTAACTTTTCCTTTACAGGCCCATCATCTCCGCTGTCTGAATGACTTTGTAGAAGCCCAGATGACTTACTATGCCCAGTGTTACCAGTACATGTTAGACCTCCAAAAACAACTGGGAAGGTGGACATTTCCTTTTCTCATATAAAAGTCCTGATAAGAAACTTATGTATATGAACTAATATATAAAGATGAGGATTTGAAAAATTAAAGGTTTTTATTAGTGTATAAAGTATTGTACTTTTATAATAATTGTCAAGCTTCTTAAGTAATAAAACATTTTGAGGTTTTCTGGCACATAAGGATTTAACAAGTGACAAGAAGATAATTTGAGTATCTGTTTAGTATCATATTTAAAAATACTTGAAGCCAGGTGCCAGTGGCTCACACCTATAATCCTAGCTATTCAGGAGGCTGAGATCTGAGGATCGTAGTTCAAAGCCAGTACGTCCAGGAAAGTTTTGAGACTTTATCTCCAATAAACCACCAGAAAATAAAGTGGCGCTGTGGCTCAAGTGGTAGAGCGCTCACCTTTAGCTGAAGAGCTGAGGAACAGTGCCCAGGCTGAAAGATGTTTGTTGTTTCTCTTTTCTCTTCCTGTTGGATATTTTCTGCTAAGGAAGAAATAGCTACATTGATGCTTAAAAGTAAATTAATTTGGAGCTGGGAAGATGGCTCAGTGGTAGAGTGCTTGCCTTGCATGCATGAGGCCCTGGGTTTGATTCCTTAGCACCACATAAGCAGAAAAAAAAAAAAAGCCGAAAGTGGCACTGTGGCTCAAATGGTAGGAGTACTAGCCTTAAGCTGAAGAGCTGAGGGACAGCACCCAGGCTCCACGACCTTCAAAAAAAAAAAAAATTAACTAACTTAAATTTGTTAATTACTTGCTTGTTATAGAATATTCTATAAAACCTCTGACACACTGACATGCTTGTTTCAATATACTAATATATGTGTGTATCTTCAGGGTTTGAACTCAGTGCCTCTTGATCTTTCTCACCTTGATTGCTCATGGTTAGCACTTATCCACTTGGAATATGCCTCTGGCCCAGCCTTTTTCTTTATTCTTGTTAAATGGAGATGGAATCTTGAAAACTTTTCGACCCAAGTTAGCTTCAAACATCAATCCTCTGATATCAGCCTCTTGAGAATCTAGGATTATAGGGATGAGCCACTGGTACCTAGCTGTTAATATATTTTAAAATAAAATGATAGTTTGTAAAGTATATAACTCAATCATTCATCAGATGTTTGTGGAATATTTAACAATATGCCAAGCATTGTTTTATATTTTACAGTTAAATTAGCAAGCAAAGAATGCAAAGGTGCTTGCCTTTATGGCACTCATAAGGTGAAACTGGAAATAATAAAAATCAGATTGGTCTCCATTCTCAAAACACTCAAAAGTCTAGGTAGAAGCATAAGTCTTAGGTATATAGAACATCCAATAAGTGGAAAAGTATAAGAAGGGCAAAATGCTTAAGGACATCTGTGAGTCAGAAGTGTCTGGCAAAATTTTCTAGATGGAAGTTTTTTAGTAGTACTCTAGATAAAAAGGGGGGGCAGGAATATTCCATACAAACTAGGAACCTGTTTACAAAAAGGCCAGAGGAAAGAAAATGTAGTAGCTCATTATGACATATTATGAAGTTAAGGATTAGGTCAGTTGATGAGTCTAGAGTAGTTAAGAAAAGTCATACTATCCATGTATGCTATGGTCTTAAGTATGGCAAGCAGGTTTGGATTTATAGAACAATTAAAGCAGAAGAGTGATTCATGGTAATTGAGAGGAAATAAGATGAATCGTTTCAAGGCAAGGAATCAGTAGTTCTTGCCTGTAATCCTACCTACACAAGAGGCTAAAATCTGAGGATCCCACTTTGAAACCAGGCAAGGCAAACAAATCCAAGAGAGTCTTGTCTCCCACGAACCAGCAAAATGCTAGAAGTGGAACTGTGGCTTAAGTTGTAGAGAGTTGCCTTGAACAAAAAAAGCTAAGGGAGAGTACCAGGCCCTGAGCTCAAGCCCCAGTACTGGCACCAAAAAAAATTGTTTCAAAAGTCTTTTTCTTTTCAGTTAAAAATCATCAAACTCATCAACTGAGCATAAGTTGGGAGAATTTCTGGGATTTAAGGGAGAACAGAAAGTGAATGGACTAGAGAATATAAATTGCCAAGTAGTATTGTAGAGCCGTTTTGAGGCTCTACAATCACCTAATAACATGGTAGTTTGTTATTTTTTTTTGTATGTGGATTTTTGTGTCTGTCCTAGGACTTCAGCTCAGGGCCTGAGTGCTGAGTGAGTCCTGAACTTTTGTGTTCAAAGCTTGTTCTCTACCACTTGAACCACAGCTCACCTTCCAGCTTTTTGGTAGTTAATTGGAGTTGAGAATCTCAGTGATTTCTCTACTGAGACTGCCTTTGAAACATTATTCTTAGATCTCAGCCTCCTGACTACTTAGCATGCATGAAGCCCTGGGTTCAATTCCTCAGTACCACATAAACAGAAAAAGCCAGATGTAGTGTTGTGGATCAAGTGATAGAGTCCTAGCCTTGAGCCAAAGAATCTCAGGGACAGTGTCCAGGCCCTCCTGAGTTAAAGCCCCAGGACTGGCAAAAATAAAATAAAAGTAATGTTTCTGTATTTTCCTATTTACTCTTGTATTCATTTTCATTATAGTTACACCACTTGAATGTAATATGTAGCTTTTCATTGATTTTTTTAAACAGTTAATAAAGAGAGGAGACAGATAATAATACATTCTAATAGGAGTTCTTAACAGTGTTTTAAGGATAAACCATCTTCGGGGGTGGAGGAAATAGCCACTTAAAAATCTAAAGTATTGGGGACTGGGAAGGTGGCTCAGTGGTAGAGCACTTGCCTTGCATGCATGAGGCTCCTGGTTCAATTCCTCAGCACCACATAAGCAGACAAAAAAAGCCAGAAGTGGCGCTGTGGCTCAAGTGGTAGAGTGTTAGCCTTGAGCTGAAAGCTGAGGGACAGCACCTAGGCCCAGAGTTCAGGCCCCACGACCGGACCCCCCCCCAAAAAAAAAAATAATCTAAAGTATTAAAGACAGTTTTGAAACAAACTTTTAAGGATTTATATTTAAATACAACTTAAATTGTCTCTAACTGGCCCAAGAAAGATGAGGAAGCCAGACACACCTTTGTCATTACAGTATTAAATTAAAAGCATCTGTAAATTCTTTCAGTTGAGATTGGTAGTGAGCAGACAGTGCCACCCAGTGGTGATAGTGAGAAGCTTTAACCGCTTGGAAATTAGTAAATGGCTGTTTTCTTTTCAGCAGTTTTCCTTCCAGTTATCTTTGTAACAACAATCACAATGCTGGGACACCTGTGCCATCTGCTTTACCAAATGTGATTGGTTCTTCTGCCATGGCTTCAACAAGTGGCCTAGTAATCTCCTCTCCTAACATCAGTGACCTTAAAGAGTCAAGTGGCAGCAGGAAGGCCAGGGTTCTCTACGATTATGATGCTGCAAACAGTACCGAACTATCACTTTTGGCGGATGAGGTGGGTAATGTGGGTGAAAGAAATATATGTAACAGATATTATAAAATGCAGGTTCAAGGGCTGGAGATAAGGCTCCAGTGCCTATATAAGTCTCTGAGTTCAAACCCCAGTACCATAAGTAAAGAAAAAAAGACATTTCTTGTTACTTATCTGGAAATAGTTTGTCACAAGTATTTCATAGATTTCAGATATTTATATAGACATAAGATTTTGTTATTTATCATAGAATGTCACAGAAATACTTTAAACTTTTAACTGCTGAGTAGTTGTATATAAATCTGCATCCAATAAAATTCTTTATCAGCACAATTGATAATGTTAAAGTTATTTAACAATAACAGTTTAGAGAAGTTAAATATAAGTCTTTTTTGGTATGTGTTTATTTTTTAGTATAGTTAATTACTTGAAATTTTTATTTTGTAGGTGATCACTGTGTTCAGTATCTTTGGAATGGATTCAGACTGGCTAATGGGGGAAAGAGGAAATCAGAAGGGCAAGGTGCCAATTACCTACTTAGAACTGCTCAATTAAATAGGGAGACTAAGAAAGATTACCCATCATGACACCATATTTATATACAAGTAATTCTAAATAAAGCAGATTTAAGTATCGTCCATGTTAATGTCTTAAGAGATTGAAAAAAACAGCCAAAAGAAATTATTCTTTCTGCTAATAAAATTGCATGGTAAATATTTCATTACACAATTTACATTAGAATTTTCATGCCACAAATGTTTTCTTATAAAAGTCTCTTTCTACTGAAGTTTCATTAATATACAACTCTACTTTTGAGCTCCAACTTGAAGCAGAAGAATTGTTTTCTACTAAATTTTTCATTAACAGCAAGCTTTTCTTTTATGTAAAATAAATTTATTGTGAATTTGATATCATTGGCTCATTTACTAGGGATAATTAATAGCCAAAGAATACAGTTAAAATTTGTTTTCAACTTTTGGTTTTTAAAATGCTCTAAGATAGAAATCTCTTTTGTGAAAAATAATGTTTTTGAATGCGTCCAAAAACAAATTCAGTTAAACCATTTTTACCTTGAGCCCAGCAGAAATAAATTATTTCAATACTGTGCTTTTAATAGGTTGAGCATACTGGGGAGATACCTTTCTTTCTTTCTTTCTTCCTTTCTTTCTTTCTTTCGAGTTTTTTGTTTGTTTTGAGCTTAGGGGTTTTTTTGAACACTTGTGAATAGGTTCTTTTAAATTAAATTAGTCTTGAAAAGCATTCCTTTAATTCTCTAATATAGTTACCATTTTAGATTATTCAGTTGGCACAAAGCAATATTTAATGAGTAATCAGAATAAGATCCATTAATAATATGCTATACTACTACAGAAAAGATTTATTGAACAAAATCTGTATAAAATATTAATACAGCTATATTCACTATGGAATAATTTACACCTACATAAAAATTTTACTGTTTCCTTCTGGCTCACTAATAAAACTTTGAAATTTTATTAGTGAATGTAAGCTTCCTTGGTTAGGATCTCTGGTTATGAAGAGCACACTATTGCAATTATTAGTGACAAATGTGGAGCTAGAGAATTGTCATTTGGGATATTGGTATGAATCAGTGTTTGCTATAAATTAGCCTTATGAACTTTTTTCTTCCTGTTTTAGAACTTCTCATATTCATTCAAGAACATTTGTTAAGAGTCAGCTACTTTGTTGTTCCACTATATTATAAACAAGATGCATATAGTTCTTGCCCCTGCAGAGTTTAAAGATTAGGAAAACAATTATTCTGTATCAAGATTTGTTGTATTATGTTGAAGAAACAGGAGGTATTAATCCTGTGTTAGGAATCCCTAACTCAGATCTGAGGACAGAAGACTGTTTAGATTTCAAAATGCTGAGTATTTATGCTGAGTTCTTTTGGCTTATACCTGTACTTCTACGTACTTAGGACGCTAAGATCCATGCTTGAAGCCAGCCTGGATAGAAACAGAAAAAAGCCAGGCTGGAGCTGTGGCTAAAGTGTTAAGTGTGAGGGCCTAAGTTTAAACTCCAGTACCAGGAAAAATAAATAAATACTTAAAATATCTGAGTTTTTAAGAACTTGGTAAGCATCTAAATAATTTAATTCACAGCCTAAAAGTTATTTCTGTGCTATAGAAAACTTCTTGTATGATTTTTTAAAATTATACAAGAAGTTTGATTCATACTGTGAATTACACTCAACCTCAAAAGCTATTACTTTTCTGTAAAACCAAATGAATAGAGCTTCTCCCCATTTGGAAAGGAAATTTTAAACAACATAGATCTCCATTTATTATATAAGTTCATAAAAATTCATATCAAATAGCAACTTTAAATCAGGTTTATAGAAAGTGTAGAAAAAAGGAGAAAATGCAGATAATGGAGTGAATGGTCTGAATTGATACCCAGCCTTCCTCATATACTGTGCTCTTTTGAGCTTCAATGCAGATATGTGAGTGCTACTTCTTTATAAGCAAACTTAGATAATTATGCACCTTAAGCCTGCTAGAATATTATACAGCAAATGTTATTTTGTGCTAGTGTGCTTTTGGTAAAGCCTTGGCACACAGTAGACACATTCTGTAAATACTAATTTCCCCTTGTCAGTCCCTGTGACTTAGTTACCTACCCAGACCAGGGGCCTTGTTATCAACTGTGGATCAGAAGGACCTCTTCTTCTGTCTGTGCTCTGCTTGTTCCCTTTCAGTTCTATCCCCTCCATGTTCTTTAAATCAGACCCAAATTCCTGTTTAACCCTACCACAGCATAAATTCTTTATTAGAAATGTCTGCCTTCCATCAGAGAAATATGGTTTATTGTTAAAGTGTGTTATAGTAACACATTAATGTGCTATTAAAATGTTACTAGGTTCAAAGGCTTCTTGTACCTTTGTCCTACCACAAATTCACCCTAGTAAGAGAGCTTGTTCTTATGTTGGTTGCATTTTCATTTTAGTGGGGTTTTGGTTGGTTGGTTGGGTTTTTGTTTTATTTTGGTTTGGGCTTAATGCCATAGTTTAGTTTTTACTCAGGTAAAAGCCTGAGAATGTTCTTAGGCATAGGAAGTAAAAAGAAAGCTTGGGAAGCTTTTTATTTCATGGTGCAGTTCAGAGTTGTTTAAACAAATATGCTCTGAGTTTAGTTCAAAAGGACAGTAATGTGAAGCATGTACATATAAATGAAATAATAAGTTTGGAAATACCTAGTCTTTTTCAAACTGAAGAAAAAGACTAAATTGTATCTCTTTGTTCTTATCTAACCTGCAAGATTGTTACGTTACAAGGGTTTTATGGTGCTAATCAAAAAAATTGATACTGTGGAAGGTGAGGTTCCAAAGTGGGAGCATGCCTCATACTTGACAACAGGGAAAAATAAGGAACCTGAGGCAAGCATTCCTAGTGGGCTAATAATATCCTCTTAGTCTGCTGTTAGCCATCACCAGAATAAAGGAGCAAAGGAGGCTGGTGTTGGGAGGACAGTTCTGAGATAAACTGTAGAGTGAAATGATGAAGGGTGGGACATGAAGCAGCAAACTTATTTTCCAAGAAAGGCCAGCATACCTCCATGCTTTTTTGATGGGATTAAAAAAGTCCCCTGCCTTTCACATAGCACATTTTGAAGTATGTTGCCCTACTTGCACATGAAGCCTGTGCAAAGAGCTATAAGGGACAGATGGCTCAAAACCAGCTTTTCTTAGTCCTTTCCTTGTGGTGAGACTGCACAGGCTGGGATGGAGTTCCCCATTGTTCTAGTTACAGTGGTTTTCAGACACACCAGCAAAATCTGCATTACCTGGATACTTGTTTCAGATGCAAACTGCTATTTATTTGTTCTTCTTTTGTCTTCAAGGGCTTGTGGAATTCATCTTACTCTTGAATGTGATAGCTTTTGAATGTTTTACAACAAATACCAAGTCTTTACTATGGGTCTAGTACTAATTGTACTTAAATTATTGTTTTAGTATACACCTGTCATTCTAGCATGCAAGCTTTCTGAGATAGAAACTAATTCTTTTGATCGGATTCCTGGCTCTTAACACAAGACCTAGCTCATATTATCTACTTGTTGAATGAAAAGAGAAAATGCAGATGGCTAAGCCTTCCCATAGACCTGCAAAATCAAATGGGAAGTGGGGCCCAGCAGTTTTTATCAAGCCGTTTTTGAATGAGGGTGCTGCAGTTAAGTTTGAGAATCATTGCACAACCAGCAGCATTTACCTTTCACCTTAAGGCTTACTATCTGACATCGCTTGAAAGGCTGTCATCTGTAACTCTTGGCAGCAACATTACTCTCAAGATAGAGGAAGTGTTCTGGTCTATAATACAAGTGGGTACGAAGGTATGAATATGTTTTGTATAAGTGAAATATCAGAATGCCAGTACTTGGGTGCTTTGTAAGATTTCTAGAGTTTGGATCCCTTAGTCTACAGAAAGACAAGCACTACTACCGCCTACATTTTCACTTGGTACAGTGCCTTTTAACTGATGATGTACATCAAAACACCTTAACAAACCACTGAAGCAGTAGACTAAGGTATGTATGTCCATGTGCCTCTGGTTGCCATGCTCAGCTCTTGTTCCTACTTGAGACTTTTTTAAAGAATTGTCAGTTTTGTTTGTTTTTTTTTTATGAGTCCTTGTGATGTTAGCAAAAAATAAAATACACAAAAATAAAATCAGATACAACCATCATCCAGGGATAAGCACTGTTATTTAGGTAGAAAGCCTTCTAGACTTCCTGTATATTTATAGATTTTTTTAAATGGTATCAATTGTACAAGCTGTTTTGTAACTTTTTCACTCAACAGTATCATGACTCATTGCTGTGTCATATATATCCACATCTTTTTTAATGGCTGCATGGTGTTTCGTAAGTGCCACATTTCATTAAACTGCTGTGGAATTTTTAGGTTTCTAATTTTTCACTAATAAACGTGTGTTGCTAAATCTTTTATGTTCCTAATTATTTAATATGAATGCTATAAAGTGTAATTACTAGTAGAGAAAGTATGCCTGGTTTTATTCTTAAGCTTTTGTTACTGCCACTTTGCCCCCTAAAAATATTTTGGTATTCTACACTTTTTTTTAAAATAAGTGATATATGAAAGAATGTTAGAGGTTTGAGGAAGGATATTTTTGTTTTGGAGGGTTTCCACTCAAATGTTCCTAGAGTCTTTGATTTCAAAATCAAGGTAAAAGATTCTATAAAGACCTTGCAAAATTAAAACAAGAGCAGTCAATTTTCCCCCAACTGTAATGTTTTGTGAGACTTTGGAAAAGTTTGTAGTGCTAGCTCCCTCTGGAGTCATCTGAAACATTACCATCTTTCTGACTTGTTGAAATAGAACTATTGTAAATAGACTTGAGTCTTAGTTTTGAGGCAGACCAAACATTGATGGTTTTAGGGAGCATGCCCATGGTGTGCAAAGTAACCACAATTAAATCACCTGGTTGTATTGACAGGCTCAGCCACATGACAAACCACCTTGTACCTATGTCAGGATTGCCAAATGATTGATTTGATTGAGCAGTTGTTATTGTCAGCCTCTGGAGTAAGTATCAGTGATAGCTAAATAAAAATCTTGAAAGCCATCACAGTAAATGGACAGATTTCAATGATGAACTAACATTAACATGGTTTTATAGGACTATTGGCAGAATGGCAGTAGTTTAAGAGGGGAAGGGAGAGTATCCGCATACCAGACTTCTTTTCCAACTACAACTACCCACCCTTAGCTATAGTTGGCCTTTAGGTTTTGGACTTCTGAGTTAGAACTAACTTCTGCCTATGAGAACCTGACCAAAGAAGATTGGCTCAATAAAGGTAACTTTAGTTAGCTAAGTGCCAGTAGCATCTCCAGAAAAATGCACAGTTGCTTTGTTTATGCTGAAAAATAAACAAGAGAAGTATTGTGAATGCTAAATTGCTCAACAATGTTTCCAAAAAGATAAAATTTCCCAGGATTATATAGTTGAAGTACACAGCAAAGCCTCAGCGACCTACCCACTTTAACATTTGGATAAACCCCAGTAAATTGAAATGAGCATCTGGTTTGCTTAATATACCCAAACTACTCAGCCAGTGATAAG